GAATCATCTGGAATCATCTTGAATCATCTGGAATCATCTGGAATCATCTTGAATCATCTTGAATCATCTGGAATCATCTGGAATCATCTTGAATCATCTGGAATCATCTGGAATCATCTGGAGTCATCTTGAATCATCTGGAATCATCTTGAATCATATGGAATCATCTGGAATCATCTTGAATCATCTGGAATCATCTGGAATCATCTTGAATCATCTGGAATCATCTTGAATCATCTTGAATCATCTGGAATCATCTGGAATCACCTTGAATCATCTGGAATCATCTGGAATCATCTGGAATCATCTTGAATCATCTGGAATCATCTTGAATCATCTTGAATCATCTGGAATCATCTGGAATCATCTTGAATCATCTGGAATCATCTTGAATCATCTGGAATCATCTGGAATCATCTTGAATCATCTGGAATCATCTTGAATCATCTTGAATCATCTGGAATCATCTGGAATCATCTTGAATCATCTGGAATCATCTTGAATCATCTTGAATCATCTGGAATCATCTGGAATCATCTTGAATCATCTGGAATCATCTTGAATCATCTGGAATCATCTGGAATCATCTTGAATCATCTGGAATCATCTTGAATCATCTTGAATCATCTGGAATCATCTGGAATCATCTTGAATCATCTGGAATCATCTTGAATCATCTGGAATCATCTTGAATCATCTTGAATCATCTGGAATCATCTGGAATCATCTGGAATCATCTTGAATCATCTGGAATCATCTTGAATCATCTTGAATCATCTGGAATCATCTGGAATCATCTTGAATCATCTGGAATCATCTTGAATCATCTTGAATCATCTGGAATCATCTGGAATCATCTTGAATCATCTGGAATCATCTTGAATCATCTGGAATCATCTGGAATCATCTTGAATCATCTGGAATCATCTTGAATCATCTGGAATCATCTTGAATCATCTTGAATCATCTGGAATCATCTGGAATCATCTTGAATCATCTGGAATCATCTTGAATCATCTGGAATCATCTTGAATCATCTTGAATCATCTGGAATCATCTGGAATCATCTGGAATCATCTGAATCATCTTGAATCATCTGGAATCATCTTGAATCATCTGGAATCATCTTGAATCATCTTGAATCATCTGGAATCATCTTGAATCATCTTGAATCATCTGGAATCATCTTGAATCATCTGGAATCATCTTGAATCATCTGGAATCATCTTGAATCATCTTGAATCCCTAAATTGTAGTTCTTAAATGTTCGGTTGATTAAGTTAAATCCCCGGGTTTTTTCATCAAAATCCAAGTGACCCAAGAGCAGACACAGCTCTCTGCTGCAGCGAAGTTGATTGTGGCCTCTGCCTTGCTCCTGTGACCGTTTCAAAAACATACAAACAATAGGGAGTTACAGTACCTTCTGGCAATCAAACGTCACAATTGAAAATCCACCACGAATAGTTGATGTTCCTATTAAAACCTCCAACTCTATTGGATGTTTGCCACGTTTGATTACCGCAGGGTAGCCATGAAAAAACAACTGATGTGGTAGGCGATGAAGCACGAACAATATTGACAATGATAATGTTGCAAAATATGGCTTGAACATGAAACTTGCTGATGCAACTCATAAATATGACCATTCCTTGGATTGCTTTTGAGGGAAACATATACAGGAAAGCATGGTTTTCCACATCAATTGTATGGCTTTCCTGAACCTGTTCCCTTCATGAATTTCTGTGGAATCAGCCCATATGTAGTCCAAAATTATCCAACTGATTTATGTATGTATATACACATTTATAGTCGCTATAGTCCCTCCACCTCAGCACCTGGCTATTCCCACTGTAAATGGCGCTTTTGGTTTAGTACTAAAATCATGACCAGCCAGCAGTGTGTAGCCTCAATCTGTTTGCTATAAGCTGTTGACTGAGAACCATGGCTAGTCTTGGATCTCCCGCCAAAACCAGATAAGCTTCAGCCGAGTAGATGTAATTAATATTAGTTAATGATTTACCATCAAAGTCATCAAAATGACTGGAGAAAATAAAACACTAAACAGCCTAACGTTAGCTGATGAAGTCCAGCTTCGAATGAAAACCACAGATGATTCGACATACCCAGGCCACCAGTCACTTCACAGCGAGGACCAATCATGGGTATTCCGCCAACCCCTCCCATTGTGGTCACCTTAGATGCGTAATGAATCGTACTTGTTGGTGAAGACTCACCCGAGACTCATAAACATCCTAAACCGGGGAATCCAGGTATCCCATTCTATTCCCTTGCGCATTCCATGAAGATCCGAGTGATTTCTCACCGAAAGGGGGAGTGAAATCACCGAAAGGGGCTTCGTTGCCTGTCATCCCCAAACCTGAACGCCCGTCGCAATGTTGCGGATATATCCCATGTCTAAAATAGCGATGGTTTATCCCCATTATCCCATCATAGTCCCAGTCACCAATATGATTATAATGGATGATTTACATTATAATCCCATGTTTTATAGTGCTTCAAAGTTACCAGAATAATATATAATATAGATGCGTATTAAATCCCATTATACTCCCGTATAGTTACTATAATTATCACCATACACAGCAGCTTTATACCCAGCCATTCGACCCACCGGTCGTCACCTTCAAATGCATATAGGCAAAGCAGCTGACCGTCAGAATTCCAATGGCTTGCCACTTGGCAAAGCTGTAGTGATGCTGCAACCCTCAGCTCGCCGCGACTGGTTCATGTTGGGATGGGACTCCGAGAGCGTCCGGGTGGGAAATTCCTGCTAGTGAACTATGAATCCGAAACAACAACGAGTTAATGACCCCATGGAACTATGAATTTCTGCCCTCTTGAAGCTCCTATATCTCTTGGTGAATGCTACCACTTTTGGGTAGCTGAACTCACCGTCGTTCCGCGGCCGCCCAGTGACATAAAGTGGACAGAATTGCCAGCATGGGCATGCGCAGTTGACCGAAGATCTTGATCGTTCCAGCGTTGTAATATCGCCTCAAAGCCCGAGGTGCTGCGAAGCAATACAAACAGGGGTGTAGTCAGGGCGAAACGAACTTGGGATATACCTCCTTTCATGAAATGAAACATAGCTGGTTAATGCTGGTTATATACCCACCGAAATAAAGTGGAACTGCGCCCCTGAAGTACAAAATGCTGGACACAATTTGGCAATCACTTCAAATTTGTGGCACTGCTGAAGGGGATTCCAGTAGTTCATACCTGGATGTGAATCCCAAAGAATTAGTAATCCATATGTAACCCGCACTATCTTATATAAAACTGATTATAACATATTATAACTGAGTAATTTTATATACATTTATTATACGCCTATATATATATATATCACTGGTTTATTCTGAGGTTATTAACTTCTTTCTAATATGTTTTGATTCAGCGGGACCCCCTTATAGGTATCGCCACTACCGTCCAGTCGCAGAGCTCTCATCTTCAATGAGATGCCAACGCTGAAGCACATACCTCACTTGCAGCAGTACGTGGCTGCAGTTGGGATATAACCCCTATATTTCATTGATATATTATATAATTGTAATTATGGGTGTGTATAACCACTTAGAAGTATAACCACTTAGAAGTGGCACTGCACCTCCAAGTACCCAGTGAAGCCTGTTCACCTGTCGTGCCCTCTTTTTCGCCCCGACACTGGGATAAAGAAATCGATACACTTGGCGATCAGGCCAAACATCTATAATAGTTTGCTACTGCATGGTGCTAGATGTGTTCGATATTTGCAACATGTGAATAAAGGCTAAAATTGGATCAATTGGTGTCAAAAAAATGTAATGCACTTCTTCCGGTCAGTTTCAAAGATTGAATCTTGAATCTGTAGGCGCAAAACCATCACTGAACCGTGCCTCACCAGCGGATTGAGGCGAGTTTGGACGTGCGACCAGGCGGCAGTTTGGAAGAAATTCCAGAAATTTGGACCAGTTGAAGCCTCCAGGTGCTCAAAGGATGACACATTTGCACGGATTAAATGTGTCTGTAAATACACGATGCCAAATAAACTTTGGATGGATTCCATGTATCGTGTACGTACATGTATATAGCATAACCTTTGATGTATATACAGATGTATATGCATATATATATATATATACAATATATATATATACGAAACACATACACGCAGTATCCATATAATACAATATATAACTATAATTGCATGTGTATATATATGGTTGTTGATCAAAATTCCTTTATCCCGGAACGGCCATTCTTCGCGAATAAAAATTTTACTTTCGCGAAACTTTCGCGAACTCCATGTTTATCTTTCGCGGGGCCCATGTTGGCCAACAACACCTCTTATGAAGATTCGTTCACCACCTGCCAAATTACGCCAGAGAATCACGGATCACTTCTTGGTAGCCTTTTAAACATGCAGCTAGCATCACGGAATCCCTTCTCAGGACAGATTTTTTTTTGCAAAGTTTACTGGCCCACCCCCTTCAACATGCACTTTGACTTTCGCCCGCTCTTTCGCATAACTTTCGCGGAACTTTCGCGAAAATATCCCTATTCACAGACCCCGGCCATCAGCAGGTGCACTGAAGGAAAAGCGAAGACCAGGGGCCTTGGTGTTTGGCTCTCGCAAAGCCTCACTTTTGGAAACTTGGTTACTGCTACTCGCATTCTCTGGTGCCCTTTTCCTGCCGGACCCCGGGCGGCAGTGGGTGGCAGCCCTTTACATATAATGATTATAATACCCAACTTTCGCGAAACTTTCGCGAAATAAAATTTTACTTTCGCGAACTCGAAAAAAAACTTTCGCGAGGGTTTCCAACATAACATGCACGGCTTTCGCAATTAAAACTCCTTACAAGGACCTTTAGATTAACCATCATATATATATACTTACAAATACTTACATACGTACAGACAAACATACAGACATACATACATACAAACATACATACATACACGTACATACACATACACATACATACACATACATACACATACATACACATACATACACATACATACGCATACATACGCATACATACACATACATACACATACATACGCATACATACGCATACATACACATACATAAACATACATACACATACATACACATACATACACATACATACACATACATACACATACATACACATACATACACATGCATACACATGCATACACATGCATACACATGCATACACATGCATACACATGCATACACATGCATACACATGCATACACATGGCTAGGAGGGAACTAAGGAGCCATGGGCATCCATATTCTCTACAAAATAGGAAGCCAGTTGGAGCTACGAATTCAGTTTCCCAGCCACATGATAGTTGGTCACTATTTATTCGAAATAGCAATGGTTCCAAGCAAAAAACATGGATGTAACCGCAATCAGGGCGATAGAACAGATGGAAATCTAAGCCTACCAACCGGAGGATTTGTTTAGCAAGAAGGGAGTCAATAAACTATGGTTTGACCAGCAGACATGTTGGATTTTTCTTACACAACGTCAAAAGCTCGAAAGCAACGAGGCGGATTTTAAGCAACAACCATACATCGGGACCTGGCATACATATGCATACACATGCATACACATACATACACATACACATACACAAACACATACACATACATTACATTACATTACATTACACTACATTATCTTATTACCTTACATTACATTACATTACATTACATTACATTACATACACGTCTATATACATATTGTGACCTTGTAAGCCAGATCCTGATTGATCAACTGCTACACCCTTCATGACCCGCGTAAAACAGGGATGGCAATGCTTGCGGGTTGGAAGTTGGAAAACATAATTCTTGGTGCATCGCGGATACAGTATCATGGGAAAATCATGGTCTCAAGTAGGGTGCCAAGTTTTTCCCGGCTTTTCCCCGGAGAAAACCAAGAAAAGCTGACAAAAGCCAGCAAAAACTCGAACATATCCAGGACAAGCTAAAGGCAACGAATCCTGATAGTCCTTTTGGCGGCTTTCCGGCTTTTCTTTGAACTAGAAAACACATCTAGATGACCAAATTTCGAGGCGCTGGGTTTCTCCATTGTTCAATGATTTTCAGCTAAATTTGGCTTCAAATTTTCACCTAGCTCAGGTGAAGCAACCCCCAAAGGAGACCCCGTTGGGATTGAAAGAGAACATGTCATCTTTCCTACACCCACTTCAGTTGGAGGAGATTTCAAGAGTTATTTTCCTATATCTACTGTCTGTATATTTCCATCGATCCAAAAACCATCCATTAATAAATCCTTCACTTACAATCCACTAATTTGTATCTGTATCCATCTATCTCAATCTATTCATTCTATCCTTGTGAGTACCTCCCCTTCCTTCTATTTGCACATCTTGCCTACCAATTCGCCTGTCTACCCTGTCTACACATCCACAACGTGTACATACTGATATACATGCTTAAATATGTTATCAATATCAATATCCATCAATAGCCATAATAGTGTCAACCTAGATGAATGGAATCTGGGAAAATTAGCGAAGTCACCCCAAACAGCAATTTCTGTGCTACTGAACGGATCCTCAATGAAACAGCCTGGAAAATGTCTATTAATTAATCCAATTTGTTGACATGTGCGCAAACCTGAAATAACCTTCCATTCCTGCACACTTTTTGATGACATATATCTCCATATAAACATCCAGAAATCTGCTCCCTCCGTGCGGTTACCGATGCGCCCAGCCACAGAGTCGAATCCCTGCGAGGCCGGACGTGGCCCATTGCATTCCCAGACCGAAGCCAATCGCTAATGCTGCTTCGAAGACCAACAGGCTTTGCCGCACATACCTATGCCCGTAGGGCCGTAGGCAAGAACAAAGGTGACAAAGGCCAGGGAAGTTTCAAGAGATCAAGGAACACATCATGAAGTTATATATATATATATTGCATCCAAACAAAACTAGTTTTATCATGCTTAATAGAAATGCCAATCTTTTGATTGTTACAAAATATAATCTAGCACCGGATACAACCAGCCCTTGTCTATGTCATAGCCCCATTGTCAACAAGCCCGCCTTTCTATGTCATAGCCCCATTGTTGCATGATTTGGTGAGGCAGCTCCGATTGATTGATCTAAGCACATATAAAATTAGGTTTGTCTGGAAATAGGGTATCTCCAATTTATCATCAGTTTCCCTATCAAGTTTTCATTTTGGGGGTATAGTACATAGTATACTGCATTTTCAAACATACTCATGGATACATTTACATACATAATATATATATATATATTATCATATATGTTATATATGATAGTGTATCACATCGTGAATCACGTCTTGATCCTTGCAAAATATGGTCGCATTCCCAAACGATGCTGGCAACACCTTCGCGTTTTTTGATGGATGAGTTTTGGTTTCTTGTTGCATAGTCTTGAGCAGAAGGAGAAGAACACCTCCCAGGTTCCGAGAAAACAAGTTATTCATCAATCGTCTACAATCTATTGAAGTTGCTGGTCAGGTCAGAATTGCCGCTCGTCATTTTGATCCCAATTCGGCTGGGTCAAACCACCATGTTGCTTGGGAAACTGCCCCCTTCCGCCCCACCTGTTGCCATGCTTTGCATCTGCAGGGTCAGTGCGGCGTTCAGCCCAATCACTGATGAAGGCTTGCCCAGTGTCCACCAAAATAAAACAAGTCAGCAGAAGCACCTTTCTCAACCGCTGATGGTCGTGCACGAACGTGCTCAGCGCCTCCCGTAGGCTGATGATGGCTGATGGTCGGTGGGGATCAACAACAACGACAAGAATAACATGTGGTTCCAATAGTAACCTCACTATTGGCCTGACAGATCCTGACAGTACCATCGTCAAGATGCGGATCCAACAAATACCAGCCACATACATGGACTAAAACTATCTAAAACTCATGATACCCTACGTTGGTCCGTTTGAGGGAGTTGCATCTGCAGATATTGCCAACAAACAGTAAACTAGGACCTAGATGGACCTAGGATGTGTCTTATGATCTTTTGATGTTTAGTGTATGCCTGCTTAAAAATCCGGACCATCTAAGATCCTGCAGAAAGTTGGAAAACCCATCGATGTTTGGAGCTCCCCAAATGAATCTTCCGGTCATTTCGACTTGAGCTGCAATGTCAGGTGAAGGTCATTCGGAACTCCGATTGAGAGTAATGACATGTTTCTTTCTTTCGAACTGTTAGTTCCTCTTATTTATTGGTAATGATGAATGAATATGAAAACCGGCATGCCCACATTGACTTTGACCATGGCTCTTTTTCTGACCTTGACGGAATGGAATGCTTTAGCACAGGAGCTTGCCAGCCATGTGGCCAAGCACTTTGGAACCCTTCATCTATGACAGGGGCAAAGGAGACGAGTCGGCCGGCACAAGCAATCCCAGGTCGTGTTCTACTTGCAGTTTGGCACTTTCGAACAGACTGTAATTATTGATTTAATGTCATTCTTATGTCATTATTGCTATAGTTTAGTTAATTCTTATTCTTACACTACTATGGTTCTATTGCGAATTCAACTTGCTTTATTTAGTCAACTTTGGTCTCGAACTCTTGTCAATGTAGTGACCCAATCTTCGAGTGACAAGAAACTTAGATCCGCCATAGAGTCTGTTCTACGGCTCCCATGCATTTTTGGTGCTCAAACTGTAAAGCTCAGCAACTAGATCTATATTATTATTGTTGTTATTTGTTGTTATTATCATTATATTTATATATAATATGTATAAATATATATATATACATATATACATCTTTATATTTTAATTTATATGTCAGATTATTCTTCCTTGGTGGCTCTCCCAGTTTGTAAGTGGGTGAATTTACCGGACTAGCCCTACTTAGCCTACTAAGTAGAGTGGAGTAAACTAGCTCACTTGCGATTCCTGGGATGAGCCACCAAGGCAATACTGGAATCTCCAAGGCACCTCCACTTCGAGAAAAGCCCTGGCTCTAAAACACAGCAAGACGGAGAAGCACCTGAGATCAGCTGCCATGGGATTTTAACACCAAAAATCATGATATACCCTCTGGTAATTTAACATAACTATGGAAAATCACCATTTTTAATGGGAAAATCCACTATAAATGGCCATTTTCAATAGCTACGTTAAATTACCAGAGGGTAACGGGGATAATCCTCTGGTCCAGCAGTTTGCTATGGATTTATATGGATTTCCCATCATTTTTGTCAGGTAAATCACCTAGAAAGGGACCATTTTACATTTACCCAGTTGGGCACCTTGGTCAGCTAAACAGTTCGATGACGTTGGATGGTTCCAGAAGATCTTGAGGATGGCATATCCGGAGCAAACTGTCACAGCTACCAAGAGTAGATCTTGAATTGGGTTAAAGTTAAAGGATGTGGTAGGTAATTACTTGTATGACTGTAAACAATATACAGCTGAAATCAACTGAAGAAGCTTCACCTCAAGAATTAAGTGCGGTTCTTGGTCTTAGCTCCTCACCAAAAAGGAAATGCAAATTGTTGATCATCACTGCCCTTGTAGAAGTTACATGAAGTTACTGTATCTTCCCCATTAAACATCATTAAATTAAACTGGAAACCGGCCATAACCCCATTTCTCGACCCAACTCGCCCATCCGGCAAGGGGCAGCAGCATCGCAACGCCACATCTGCTCCGTCGCCGCGTGAGACGCCAGAGGCCATACGGAGCTTGCCGAGCGCTCGTGTCACGTCCATGTCCGGTCCATCCATGGAAAATCATGGATGAACCAAGCGCAAGCCGTGTTTGTCTCCACTTGGGGGGAGTGACCCCCCAGATTTCTGGCCATGTTTTTCTCTTTTCATAAGGAGAAGTTATGTCGACAGCATCGAAAATTGGGCCCGATGTTGACAAACTCAGTTGGTGCTTCAAATCAACAAACGTGCTGATGATTGTCATATAATTGACTCTAGCCCCAAAATTAAATTGATCTATGTCTGGCCTGTGCTGGTTCACTCAATTTGATGATTTTCATAGACAAAAACCTTCTGTCCCTCTCCAGAGATGGGTCCTGTGGTAATCTGTGGTAGAAACCACCCAGAAAAAGGCTATGTTGTGGTCAGTTAATATGTGTACTTAATATGATTAATGGAATTCCAGGGGACACTTCTGCAAGGCACATCATCCAAGTACAGAAAATTCCAATTGCTCCCTTTGTCTCAGCTATTCAATGGCAGGCAAATTACAATAAGTTGCCAACATGTGATCAGCAATTTGTGTGATGAGTCCCTGAGTCATCGTTTGGCCTTTGTGAGGCCACTACATTGAAACACTGAGGCCATGTCTCTTTTTCAGCTTAGCCAGGATGTGGCTGCAGCAATTGCAGCCCGTGGATGCCAACTTCAATGGCTCGACGGATCGAGTTTCGATGCTGGGAGAATCCCTCTTAGCTCGGTTGATTCCCCGGTGGATTTCCCATGCCACCCGAGCTTGAACCAAGAACCATGGATCCCAATTTGAGGGATGCCACTAACCCGTCACTATTCAACCGCTCGCCCGAACAATCATTGGTTCTATGGGCGAATTCCCCATGGATTCAAGGACTGAAACAAGAAACTGTTGAAATCCAATTGTCCCTATGTTGTGCGTCAAAAATCATATTTTTGTGCTGGGTTGTGCTGCCTACAGTAATAATAATAATAGTAAGAACAATAATCATCATCACCGTCATAATGATACTAATAATAATAATCAACATCATCATCATCATCATCATCATAATCATCATCATGATAATACAGGTGTCAATCCCAGTCTTGTTTGGCGACTTCTGGTTGGCGATGCCGCCAAAAAATCTGCTGGGAGCCCGTGCCATCCAGGTGCTGAAGCGGTCGGCAAATGGCCTTGATATGTTCCACAGCACCATCCGGAAAAATCTGGAAAATGGCTGTTTCAATAGGGAAAAACGAAGCATCTAAGATGTCTGGAAAGAAAAAAACAGTGTCTTGAAGGTCCTAAAAGAAACGATGACATGGAAACTCGGCTTCTTTCCTGCCCCTTTACTGGTGCTGAAATTGCATCTTTGCTGGCTTCCCCCAGCGATGACCTCAAAAGTATCCAAAAAAGAAGCCAATCAACATCCAAAATCACCCAAGAAAATCCAAACATGTCCAAGAGTGACATTCTCCAAAACTACCCTCTGGTAATTTAACATAGCTATTGAAAATGGCCATTTATAGTGGATTTTCCCATTAAAAATTGCCATTTTCAATAGCTATGTTAAATTACCAGCTTCCCCCCCTTGCCTGATGGATACTGAAGGGTCACTCCGCCACACCGCAGGCTTCGCCGGACTCGCATTCGGCGCACGCAGTGTATCAACGTGCGCGACCGGTGCGTGCCACAGCAGGGCCATGGTGCCGACACTGTTGTATGTCAAAAAGCCATAGAAAAGTAATTCAACACTTTCTGACTAGGAATGGTGCTTTTGTATGCTTTTCTATCTTTTTTGGAAGGGGTTATATCTATCTATGTATATTGCAAATTCTAATCTTAGGTGTCCTGCAAGATTGAGTCAGTCAGTTTTGTTATATAAGGAAAAAAACTTATATATTTTTTTGAGTGGTAGCCCCTATCAATTATCAACTCTGGCAAAGAAGAATCCCTACCCAGTCAAGGTTTACTCAAGGTGAAATTGTAGGTGAGCCACTGACATTGTTACCTGCCGTGGCTGTAGCCTACCCGGGCTACCCTAACCTGGACTTCTGCGACCAACTGTCGCAGCTGGCTCGAGCATTCAACAGCTACGTGACCATATGAGATCAAAAACAAGCCTGTTGATTGTAGAAATTGTGGTAGCTTCTACCAGATTTACTGGGGATCATCGCAACCAATCAGGGTATACCTATTGACCCAGCAGATTTACCTATGCTGAATGGGATGGCACACCTCACCTGGATGATCTCATGATGGACTCATAACCCAGCACCAAGCACCTTGCATACATCAGTACCTTCCGAGTGATGAAGCAAGGAAGTATTGCAAGGTCCATTTTCACCTCTTGCTCGTCTTGCTCAAGAGATGTCCGGCATGCTGCCTGTAGAAGGTAATGCTATTCCAACAACCAGCAACCCAAAATATCTGCCGTTGCGCTGAAAGATCTGTCAACTCCACAGGCAACACAGAAATCTAAAGATGCCAACAGTCTGATGTGGGCCAGGGTGAACATCAAAGCCTTTCCACCCGCAGCAAGAGTTGACCAAAAACCCTTCCTGGTAATGATAATTAGTGGGATAGCTGGAAAATGCAGAAAATGTATCTAACAATGATATACATTCATATACATATATATATATACATATAATTGTATAATATATATAAGATTATATAAGCATTAGATCTTACTGCAATGCAGGTCATTACATGCCATTACCAAGGCACACACACATATCATATGACCTTGATCTGGATTCGCCAATACTAAGCAGGACTCCTTGTCAACCGGTAACGCCTTTAAGTTAACGGATGGATACTGAGGTGCAAAATCTCATGAAGATCCGTCAAAATAACCAGTTGCGTCAGCTGATCATTACCTAATTGAAGAAGTCATCACCAGAATGGGTTGCCTCAATCACCTAGCGCGAGTCTGCGATGTTTCACTGTTACCCTGTGGCACACTGCTGAAGATGCCCTGGCGTTGCGGAGGATTCCGGAGCCCTACGTTGGGTAGAATGGATAAAACCAACACAAAAGTCATTGGAATAGGGTGAGATCATGCTATGCCTCATAGGGGATATGCAGCTATATGAATTAAACATATTGAAACTCACAGCATGGATTGCATTTTCAGAATTGTGTCACTTGTCATACAGTCCGATCACAACCTGTTGAATCCCTATCCAACAAAAAACTAGACTTCCGCTGGCTGCTTCCGAACATTTTTTTTGGATCCATGTAGAATGTTGGCATCCGCATCATCATGTACCCTGCATTAAATATGTATCTACATGGGGGTGGGGGTGAGGAGTAAATCAGTCATGATAAGTACACCATAGATTAGATGGATGGTATACGATATGATTTTCCCTAGAACAGGACATCTCCTCCATCCGAGTATATACAATTTACATGTACATATACATATACGTTTAGATATATACTATACATATATACAAATATACATATAGATAAACAGATCTGTATAGACATAGATATTGATATAGATATATACATATACATATATGATATTATATATTATATATTGAACATACAATAAACCTTGCTATGATGGCAAAGGCACAACTCCCATCAACAACCGACACTAACCGACCCCAGGCTGCCTGCTACGCGCTTAGCTTGGGAAGTCATCATCACCGAAGACGCACTCATCGTCATCGTCGCCATCGTCCTGCAGATCGTCGGAAATGTAACATGTGTTTAATTAACTGTTTGAATCATCGCTAAACTTAGATACCCCGGCTCCGAAAAAGGCTTGAGTAGGATCTTACTACATATTTATACCTCTTGATATACACATCGTGGAGGGATCTTTGGTTTTTACCATCACTGCTACAACCATTCCAGGATCGGTTACAAGGCTGCGACGGCGCCAAGGACTTGCACAAATACATTGGTGATAGATAGATCGATAGATTGGGTCAATCATTGTTTTTTGTCGCTCCGCATCCAGATCTTTGCATCCACACGAAGTATCTGTATATGTATCTGTATCTGTATCTGTATATGTATCTGTATATGTATCTGTATATGTATCGGTATCTGTATATGTATCTGTATCTGTATATGTATATGTATCTGTATCTGTATATGTATATGTATCTGTATCTGCATATAAATCTGTACATGTAGATGTATCTGTATATGTATATGTATATGTATCTGTATCTGTATATGAATCTGTACATGTAGATGTATCTGTATATTATGTATATGTATATGTATATGTACATGAATCTGTATATGTAGATGTATCTGTATCTGTATATGTATCTCTATTTGTATATGTATCTCCATCTGTATATGTATGTATCTATGGATGTATAATGATGTATACATGTGACCACTCTATAGGAAAGCGTGCCGAACTATGTGGCCCTTGGCAGTCAAGTCATGGGCAATCCACGGCTATGCTGAAGCCCCAAGGGACCTAGTTACTTCATCCGATGATCCACCACGCCCAGAATCATACGGCACAGCTAAGTGCACCCATATATATATATATATGGAGGTTTCCTAAAATTGGGATATCCCCAAATCATCCATTCTAGTGGTGTTTTTCATTACTAATGGGAAACAAAGATATAAATCATCCAATTTGGGGGTACCATATTTCAGGAAACCCCTATATGCGTATCTATATAATATATCTGGACATATGAAAACCCTGACACAAACAATTCCACACAATGTGCATAGCTGGATGTGTATATAATATATCATATTGTGCACGGAATAATGTCTGAAAAACGAGCATCCCCATATCTCATGATCCATCATCATTTTCCCCATTCCATTGGCCAGTCTGGGGTATCCTCAGTTTAAGACAAATCAAATATTGTATTATTGCTGATAAATATATATATATATATATCGTTGGTGGTTGACCTACCCCTCTGAAAAATATGAAAGTCTGTCGGGATGATTATTCCCATATATTATGGAAAAAAAATGTTTGAAACCACCAACCAGCACAATAATGTTGGGTACTGATCATGACTGTGGAAGGTGAGAGCCAAGGTATATATATATATCTCTCTCTCTCTCTCTCTCTCCCCCGTTATTTCTATTCCACAGATGATTCTCCCCGGTGATGGC